CTGATGGGGTGGTCGGGGTCTGGGCAGGAGTTCGTTTGGTCGGGGCGAATGTGCGAATGCGCTGCTGATTGTGGCATGGGTCAGGCGCTGAGGCTCGGTGAAACCCTTCTCCCCCAGACTCCGGAAAGGGGCTGGGGGAAAAGACAGCTGTTTTGGAAACTTGCAGCACGGGAGAGCGGGAATGTGACCCTTCCTCCAGGAAGCAACCTTTTGGGACCCACCGTCGTCCAAGAGCCCCATCCCACGGGCCTCCCTCCCATATCTTCTCCCTGCCCCCGGGGCTCCTGTGGAGCCTGGAATGGAAGTGAAGGGTGCCTTGATGACCTGCCTTTAACCTCCCCAGAATCTGAGGGGCAGAGGAGATTGGGTCGCACAGATGGCATCTCAGTGGCATGGCATGCGATCCTCGGCGCGCCGCCGGTCTCTCCTGAAGGAGGAGCAGCGGGAAGAGGAGGTGGTGCGGGCTGCAGCCGGCCATCCGGAGTCGTCCACCGGGACCCTGGGCGCCCTGTGTAGACAGTTCCAACGGAGACTGCCCTTGAGAGCAGTTAGCCTCAACCTCGGGACAGGCCCCTCCTGGAAACGCCTGGAAACCCCAGAGCCAGAACAGCAGGGCCTCCAGGCTGCAGCGCGCTCAGCCAAGAACGCCTTGGGTGTCGTGTCCCAGGTAATGACAATACAGCCATCTATAGACGGTGTCTTTGTCATAGTTCCTACCCTCAGGGAGACCCTGAGAATACAGGCTCCATGGCACCTGGGACTTTGACTTGCTTGTTACTGCTTTCCCAGCACCCCAAATAGTTCATGGCACAGAATAGGTATTCCATAAATAACTGAATGATTGTCACTAAGGAAATTGATGCTCAAAATGAGCTGAGATGAGAGCCGTATTATGATAGGCAAGCAAATGGCTAATGATCAGGGGACACCAAACTCAAGCTTAATTGGTCAAGGCTTCCCAGAATAGGTGACTCCCCAGAGCTCACCCAGGAAAGGGGAAGTACAAGGAGCATCTGCAACAGGTGAATCAGCTGTACCCAGACTTAGGACAGCAAGGAGGAAAGTTGTGGAAGAGTAAGGGCAGAAACTTAGCCTGGGTGTGCCCTGGGGCAAGGCAAGGTGGAGCAAGGAGAGAGGAGATCCAGTGTCTGAAGGTGTTTAGACTCCCCAGAGCAGCCGGAAACTGGAAAGAAAAGTGGGGCCTCCCAAAGGCCAAGCAGGGGCTCTGCCCCTGAGCCACACACCCAGCCTCAAAGCTGGTCAGATGGGCGTATAAATGTACTTGCTCCTGAGGTACGTGATGGGAAATGGAAAGGAGCAGATATGTCGCTGAGGGTAACTTCAAGAGCTTCTCTGAGTTAGATCCAGCAGTTTGGGGTACTAGGTGTCAAGGAGCTATTCCCCAAGAAGGCAGTGTTACGTGGGGTATAAGGTGCCCATGGGCCTTCCAAGCTGATATGTCTTTAAATCTGGAGCCGGAGCTGAGGACAGATGACCCCTGGAAAGGACAAAAGCCATGGGAGTGAATAAGCCCCATGAGCCCTCCCAAAGGCAAGGGTAGGGGTAGAAGGGTTCCTCCTTAGCATCCTGGGAATCCTGAAGATGTAGGGAAAGAGCTGCTCTTTCTAAAACCTTTGCGAAAAGGTCTCCCAGCCAAATGCTAGGCCTTCTCTGGTGGCACCCCTGCTTATTTTCACCACCTCATGGCTCAGAGAAATAAAATGAAATGTGTGGTCCACGGCCACATAACTCATCCTACCTAACTGGGGCCTTGCTTCAACCTCTGAATGCTGGTTCGCCAAGGCAAAGACAGTCAAATAGATGAAGCATCACTGTCACCATACTGGTCTGAAAGGCCCAAGAGTTAGGTCTTAGTCTTCTGAGAATAAAGAGCCAGGGACATTCTGAGAAGTTCAGGGTCAGGATCAGAACATCCCCAAAAGGATCTCTGAAGACCAGTGTGGGGAGGAATGAAGGGCCATAGGAACAGAATCAAGGAGACAATGATCTCCTGGTACCCAGGAGCTGGGCCTGTTCTCTGGGCCTTCTTGAGTCACTGGGTCGGTCTCTTCCTGGGAACAGGGTTTGGACTTGGACAGAGGCTCTGTGAGCCAGCGTGGTCCACCCACTGCTCACTGCTCTGGTCCCATCCCGGGACTCTGAGCTGGGTTGCTGCACTGGACAGCAATCCCACAAAGAGTCATTGCACCCCTCACCCTTAAGACCAAGAGCAGGCATTATTCATGGGAAGCTGGCAGGCTGGATGCTTACAGCCCTTGGTTCTGTCTGTGCTAAAGCTGTGCGTTTTGTATCAGAGAATCCAGGAGTCCTGCCAGAGTGGCACCAAGTGGCTGGTGGAAACTCAGGTGAAAGCCAGAAGGAAGAGAGGGGCACAGAAGAGCGGTGGCTCCCCACCTCCCACCCTGAGTGAGAAGAGCACTCGGCTGTGTAGAGCCACCCTAGACCCTAACAAGAGGGAATATCACCGCCTCTCTGCCCCGATGGGCCCACGTGCTCATGCCCGACGGCGGCTGAGGAGAGATACTGCCTTCCAGAACCCCTACTCCTTGACAGAGCCTCTCTGCTCTCCCAGGCAAGTAGTGTGGTGTCTCCCAGAGCCAGTGGTTCTGAGCTCATGCATGATCTCCCTTCTCTGACCCCTCACATGCTAACTGGGCCCCAGGGCTTCCGAGTACCTCCTGCACGTTCCTGGAGCCAGGGGCACCCTGAGTTGAATCACATCCATGTTCCAGCCCAGCTCTGCCCCCAGACCTAGTGGAGGATCTGAGAAAACCCTTCAGGGCCTCAGTTTCCCCACCTGTAAAAGAAAGAGGTAAGCTTAGTTCTCCCTGGGTCCCACTGAGACCAGCCTGCCGGTGAGGACATCAGGGTGTCAGAGACTCAGGGTGCAGGTGGGGAACAGCAGATTCATTTGTCTGCAAAACTGCCTGCGCATACTCTTGGCTTCATGGGACTGAACGTCATTTAGCTGAGCAGGAATCTGTGGTGAGGAAGCCCCAGCCCACCAGGGCCATCTAGACCCACAGACCAGGTCCTGGTGCTGGACTGGGAGGTATCTTGTCACAGGTCCCTAGCTACCCTCTGTTGGCTTTCTTTTATCCAGTGAATCTGACAGTGATCTTGAGCCTGTGGGAGCTGGAATCCAGCATCTCCAGAAGCTGTCCCAAAAGCTGAACGAGGCCATCGTCGCTGAAGACAAGTGAGTTGGTGTCCCAAGCTTCACAGTGAGGTGGCGGGGAGGGCCCTCCTGGGCCACACCAACTTTGTAGGCAGGCTGCTGCTCTGCTACTGACCTGCTGGGCGACCCTCTAGTCCCTGCCCCTCTCTGGGCCTCAGTCTCCTCGCTGCAAACACGAGAAGGGATGAAAGACCTCAGTTGGGGTGGTGATAAAGGATGCACCCTGGATGTCTGTGGTCCTCCGGGTTGTGGCTCACTTTTTCAGTCCTCTGGAACCGCATGTGTGGCTGGGCACCTGATTCCCAAAGGCCTACCCTTCCTCCATGGCTCCTCTTTGCCTGGCCTGTGTGTGGAATTAGAATTACGTGGCTGCTGTGGAGCTCCTGGTATACCTGCTCAAGACCCCATTGTGAAGGCAAATCCTCACTAACTCAGGGATTTTTGTCTCTGCATTTGTGTAATAGTCAAAGCAGGCTCTCAGGCAGGGTCCCACCAGCTCCAACCCCACAGAGTAGCCCTGCTCCCACCATATTACCAGGTTCTGGTTTTGTCAGTCCAATTTGGGTCTCCTCACAGCCTGCAGCACCCGCCAATGTCAATCCCCCTCTTCTCCATCCCTAGTGCTGACATGACCGTGACGCTCATTCGTGACTGAGGACAAGCCCTGCAGGTAATGCCCGCCTCCCCAGTATGTTGCTCAGTCTCCTCCCCTCCCTCCCGCCATCCTCATTCATGAGCATGTTAAAGAAATGAGTCTCTGGGAAAAACCCATGGAGCAGGTGAGCCCAACAGAACGGAAAGTCTAAGAGTCTTCCTACCTGCTCAGAGCCAAAGCTTAACCTCACCGGCCCATCATTCACTGACCATGTTGGGCTCCCCAAGAACCTAGAGGCACGTTCCAGCTGCTTGAGGAAGCTGTGGGGTACCTAACTTCTGTTCCCGGAGCTCAGCAGTGGGCACAAAGGAAGCTCTGTTTTGCAGAAAACAAGTCCCATCTGGCCACCAAGCCCTCATACCTAGGATATCTACATCGCCTGCCCCGAGCTTCCTGGAGGAAGTACCAGAGGCATCAGCTCCCCTGGACCGCCACTAACAAGGACCTGATTACCAAGGGGCCCAGCACTCTTCTGCTCCAGCCACATCTGGGTCCATCAGTGACCGTCTGCCACAGCCTGAGAGTGACTCCGGGAGACATCGGGGAGTTGGGGAATTGCTCTTACTCCCCCAGGGGACTCTTGGGCTTAGGATCTCATCCTATTCTCAAGTCTTATGGTCACCTTGTTCACAATGAGAAGGTAGAGTCTTTAGGGAATCTTCTACAGACTCCCCAGCTGTATTTCCAAGGCAGAGGTTCTTAGGGACCCACTTCCATCCTACTTCTCCCCCTGGGGCCCTGGAGGAAGGGAGAGGAGAGATCTCCAGGTTCTGCAACCCTGGGCTCATGGGTGCTGCCTATTTATAAGCTTGGCACAGGGCACTGTGGGCATGCAGGGAAGGGGAATACCACTCAAGAGCAGTTTTGCCCTTTGTAAATTATTTAAGAAATCTGCTTTTATTACAAAGAAGGCTGTGTACCAGTTTCCTAAATCGTATTGCTTTTTCATAATAAAGACTTATGCCACATTTGACACCTTTTCCATTTCACCCCAGCCTCAGCCCCCCACCTGACACTGCTTTGGGCCCCATGTTTAGGATGTGGGTTTGTCCCTCGTCCCCTCAGCTTCCAGCTTGCCTGCCCCACCCCATCCCTAGAGTGGGAGTAAAGAGAAAGCTTTTTCAATTCAGTCCAAAGCAGAGCACATTTGAAAGGCAAATAAGGTTTTTATTTAAGTGACAATGTTTGAGAGTTAAAAACCAGCTCACATCAAAATCAAGACCAATTGTAAAAATCTTTTAACTCCATAATGCTGTGTTTGTCTTATTATAAATCTGATATTTTACATGTCCTTTTCTAACGGATTTTGTACAAGGCAGCCATAGGAATACAATAAACCTTTTCCAGCACAGAGCCATCGATCACAGATAATACTGAAAGTTACACACTTAGGAACAGTCAGACCACAGACAAGGTCAGACCGGCTGCCACCACTGAGTAAACAAACAGAAAGGGACAGTGGGATCCAACGGAGGGGGTCCCCATGCATGAGCCGCCCTTCTCTGGCCTGTCACTCCTTGGTGTCACCTGCCTCTGCTGAGTCCCAAAGAGAGTGAAGCTGAACTCTTGATTATCCTGCCAAACACCCTGTTGATTTCTCAGCAGGGACAGCAGAACCCAGCCAGGCCTCGCTGCTTGGACTTAACCCTAATTCGGATGTTGAAGATTCCCCCAAGCCTAAAAGGATGCATGGAGGTTTTTGATTGAACCAAAGAAAATAGGTTTCCAGAGCACTTGACACCCAAGCCCCCCGGGATTCAGCTGGAAAGTTGGTTGATTAAGGCGGGGTCAACTGCAAGGCTCTTTCCCAGTCAGGGCTCCCCTCCTAGGCAGGGCTGCACCTGAACCAGGTGGAAAACTGGTGCCACCTCCGACCCAGGTCCACCTGCCTCAGGTGGAATCCGATCTCATTTAAAGGTTGGTGGATGTTCCGTCTGCAGGACGCTTCTGGGGCACATGTCTGGGCTTCAAAGTGAAAAAAGTACAGTTTAAAAACCCTAAGATCCTGCCTCCCCTTCCTTCAAAGAGCCACCCCAAATAATCTTGGCAATACTGGAATTCAGATGTGGTTGCTGCAGCCAGCACCCAGACAGGAAGGCTGTTTATCCAAACACACAAAGGAACCTTTTTCTTTTTTTAATATCTTAAGGTTCTTTAACAGGAGTCAAGATCTTCAGGGGGAAAACCATGATGCTGGAAGAGCAGGCCCTGGCGAAAGATGCACCCTGAACCCCCAAGAGGGCAAGTAATAGAGGAAGGCAGGCAGCGGGCAGGCCCTCAGCCAGCATAGCCACTGGATGGGGAAGAACAAACATGCCACATGAAAAACAAGCAGCTTTGGTCAGCGGGGAAGATCTGTTTTCCAGCTGCTGGATAGCAGGCACACCAGGAGCTAGAAGGAGTCTAAAAACAGCTGGACTAGGGGTCACAGAACTTCTGGAGGAGAGGCAACAGCACCCTCTCCAGACAACAACAGGACTCAGTTCTTTTTGTCTCTGACCTGACACACAAAATTGAACACTCTACTAGTATCGAAAGTGCATATGGGGGACACACTTGCCAAAAAGGCAACACCGAGACATAAGTAGTCTCATCACTAAACAGAACTGCAAGTACACACACTCACACACACCAACTATAGCTCCAAGGGTGTTGTGTTCACAATATAGCCCTGTACACAACCAGCATCTTGTATGGGAGTCATCCAAGTCCCCATAGAGGGTTGCAGCAAAGGAAGGGCTGGTAGCCCTCCTGCTGGGTCCTGTGTCTCAGTTCTAACCCCCAGAAACACAGCCCTGGTCACTTATTCTAAACTCCCTGGGCACCCCAGCTCACAAGTGTATACCCTCACTCCCATCCACCCCGCTCCCCAGCCTGGGGTTCTCAGAAAGGGGGAGGGAATCTAACTGGGGGAAAAAGATCTCACACTAATTAGTTCATCATTTGAAAGTAACACATCAGTGACGTCTGCCAAAGAGAAAATGACGGAGTGTCAGAAAATTAGAAAATAATTCTGCCCAAGTTTAAATCAAGGTATTTGGGGGGAAGGAGCAGAAAGGGTTAGGAATGAAGTGCTACTCCATATGAGCTGGTGCCAGGAGAGCCAAGAACAATGCCACGGTAAAGGGGGATGAGCCTGTGTGCACTGCCCACCGGAGCCAGGACCGAAGAAGGAGCCAAGGCTGGTCCCCAGCTCCCCGGCATCCTCCTGGGGTTTGGACACAGGATACAGTGCTGAGAGTGGATTACAAGAGCTGGCACATGGGTCAGGCAAAGGTGGCAGTAGCTGGCAGGCTGGAGAAGGTGCAGGGGTGGGGACTCAGAGCCCAGACCCCTCCAGTCCCAGCAGGGTGCCCAGGTTGCCAAGGTGATTCACAACAATGGTGCCAACTGCCCCCAGGAGCAGCCGCCATGGGCTGTAGGGGAGCTGCAAGAGGTAGACATTGAGCAGAAGCGACACTGAGCTCACACAGGTGCCTGCTGTGTATACAGACGTCTGGGCGGCCTGGCAAATAGCTAGGGCCGGCCTCAGAAGCAGCCCACGGGCGCACAGAGGCAGCCAAGGGCAGCTCCATCACAGGTGTGAGCCTGGGCCAGGGAGCACAGGAAGGTGCACGACACCTTTGCCTGGGCAAGGGGCTCAGTAGCAGGAGGACCTGGGCAGACTTTGAGGCACCCCAGGAGAGCCAAGTCCAGCCACCCTCAGGGGCCCTACCCAGTGAGAGGCTCAAACCAAGCTAAGTGGTAGCTGGAAGGGAAGGAATACAACAGTTTGGGCCAAAATTCCATGAAGGCCCCAGAACCCTGGTTTCTCAACTCTAGGCTTTCCAGAAAGCAACAGGGAAATAGGTCTGAGCAGAGCTGGGGGTGGAGGGGCCAGATCAGTACCCTCTGGGGGAGGATTCTGTCCCTGGGACACCCTATTTTGGCCCCAGTGCAAAGCAGTGCTGCTGTGGCTCTCCATGGAGCAGAGGCTTCCTCTGGAGCAGAACCCTTCAGTGAGGCTGTGTGAAAAGGCTACCTTAACCTGCACGCTGAAAAATCTCAGGTTCAGAAGTTTAGGGCTGCCTCTGCGTCAAAAATGTATACCCATCTCAGCTAGGGGGTGGACCTCCTCCAATTTACAGAAAGAAGGCCAGGTCCAGAGAGGGTAAGCAACAGACTCAGGGGCACACAGCCAGCCCAGCTGGGCCAGAACCCAAGTCTGCAGCCTCACAGGGAGGAAGGGCACAAGGTGGGGATTCTGGAAGATAAACACCTGTCCTCAAGGGCCACCGGAGAATAGTGAGGATACTGAGGACAAGAGTAGGGGGCAAAGGACAGCTGCAGGCGGACAGACCGTCAGCACCAGACCTGGCCCCAGGGCTGTGGACAGACACCACTTACATGAGGATGAACCTAGGGGGCATCCTCTCACTCCCAGAAATGACCACTTTACCGAAGTGGTGATTGGGGATGTCACAAGGAGGGCGGGCACAGATGCCACTCACTCCTCTGCAAGACAGCCAAGAGGCAGCACCTGCCAGCGGCTGCTGGTCCCCGGGCTGGGGCCTCCATGTAGAGCTCGCCTAGCCTGGCCGCGGAAGCCTGGGGACGCGGAAAGATGCTCGACTCTGCTGGGACAGTGGGCTCCGGCTGGCCTGTCCCCAGGATGACACAAACATCTGCCCTGACTCGGGCTCACCGTCCCTGTGTGAGGAGGCAGCAGCGGCAGCGGCTCTGGGACCCCGGATTTTACCCCGTCAAAGCCTGGGAGCTCCCCAAGGCCAGAAGGGTCCCTCCCCACTCTGATCGGACACGGCTGGACAGACACGGGAGGGAAAAAGCAGGAAAACGCCTGTGTCGGGGAGAAGGCAGCCTTCCCGTCCCTGCAGGCAGCCTGGTTGCCCCCCTGCTCTGAGCACTTATGCCCCTCAGGGCACCGACTCGAACTTGGGGGGCCCACGCGCCCAGCTGAGCACGGGCAGCGGCCGCTCGTGGTCCTTGTCGGACTCGGGCTGGCTCTGGGCCCGCTCTGGCTTGGGGTTGACGGCCGGTGGGTCTGGCTGCTGCACAGACAGGGTCCTGCGCAGGTGGTTGCGCTTGCGCAGGAACTCGGGTTGTGCGTGCAGCCCGAAGCTGCCTTTGCGCAGGATCATGCGTGAGTTGTTCTTCTTGGGGCGCGAGCGGTGGCTGGCCTCCAGCGCAGCCAGGTGTGCGGCATAGCCTTCGCTCAGGAACTACGGAGGAGACGCGTGTCAAGCCAGCGAGGAGAGCGGATCCCTGCTCCCGATCCTGTCCCCCAACATAACCACCAACTGGGACTTCTCCAGCACCTCCTTGGGCCCTGTGCCGCCTGAGGGATCTTTCTGGATCACAAACATGATCCTGCCTCCCTATCCCTCACTCCAGAGACTGAATGAGCTTGGCAAGACACAGCCCATCTTGATGCACCTACTGCCCCAATGCCCTCGTCCCGTGCATGCCTGCACCAAGCTGAGTCACTGGCCATTCCCAGAATATAATGTTTCCCCGCTGCTTCCTGACCTTGGCCTTTGCTGCTGCCTCTGCCACAGATGAATGCTGCCCCCAACCTAAGTTCCCTCCTGAACAATTCCTTCAAAATTTGGAAAGCCAGCCTTGGCCTGGAGTCTGGGTTAGCTGCTCCTCACCAGAATTCTGTCTGCCTGTCATCTATCATGGCACATGCCACACTACACTGTCACAGTCTGCAGATGTTCCCATCTCCCACACGAGACTAGATGGCGTTACATCTGGCCACTGGGGCTCTCCCCTGATCTAACACAGCCTGGCCCAAGGCAGGGGCCTAGAAACATTTACTGAATGAATGAATGAACAAGTAAGTGAGTGAATGAACCAGTAAGTGAATTGCCTACTCTTCTACCACCCTTTCCCTGGCCACCAGCCCTCAGCCTCCAGCCTGGCCTCCACCCACCTGGCACTGGGTTTGGTACTTCTTGGTGGCCCGGCCCACAATGAAGATCTGGGAGGCTGGCAGGCCCAGCACGCTGTAGACGGAGATGTCCTTGGTGGAGCCATAGGCAGCACTGATTTTGATGAAGCACTGAAATGCAGGGCAGCTCATGAGCAAGGGGAGGCCCAGGAGCCCTCCCTGGGAAGGCTTCCTGCACCAAGACCTTTATCTGCACTCACACTTTATGCCGTGGGGCCACCCCGTGCTGGGAACAAACCCCCACTGTGCCTGTCCCTCCCCACACCTCGAGCCTGATACAGGACTCTGCTCAGTAACAACCAGACTATTTACTGACCCTCCCTTGGGTAGCACTACGCATGAGTTATGTAACAAAGGGGACAATGTCCATTTGTGGATAAGGAAATTGAGTTTCTGCATCACAGGGCCAGGACTGGAGGTCATTTCTAGGCTGGTCCTGTGCCTGCTGCCTCTGACTGGCTGGTCCAATGCCTTCCCCGGGAGACCCAATCCAGCTGAGAAAATGGCTCAATGTCCTCCTCGCTCCAGCAGCACTTTCAGATCTGCACTCTACCCTCCCCACTGAGTCAGACCACCTCCTCCTTGGAGGGGCTCACCGTCAGTCGCCCCTTGCCATATGTTCCTCCCCATAAATCACCGTCCTTTCTCCCAAGTGCACTGGAGACTCCAGTCGTGTGTCTCAGCTTCCCTTCCTCCTAAGCACCACCATTGCCAGGGTGCCTTAGTGTCCATGTGGACAGCTGGCCGCCTCCCACCCTTATGAACCCTCCAAGCTGAGACCCATCTTCTCCACTCCTCATTCCACTGCATCTGCCCTCTTGGCCCTCAGCGGTGTTCCTTCCTCACTGAGGGCATGCAGTGACCATTCTTCATGCAGGACAGTTCTCACCATCCCACAGTGCTGTCTGCTTGAAATTCTCCCTCCCCTGACAACCAGGGCCTCCCTGTCTTAGCCCTCCTCCCCTTGGACTTTCCACCTGGCTCCCTGGCCAGCTCCTGTCCCGCTCTTGGAAGCACAGTGCAGCCTCTCTTGGTCCTGCCCTTCCCCTGGGGTGCCTTCCCACTCACGGCTTCACTGCCCTCCCTCACACAATGGCTCCAGTGTCTATCTGCAACCCATTGACCTCTTCTCTGAGCCACATGCTGGGGCTGACATGGCTCATGGCCCATGGCCATATCAGCCTCCACATGTCCACAGCTAAGCCCATCTCTCTCCAGCCTGGCCTTTTGCCTGTGTCCCCTCTCACTTCATTCCCTCATTCATTCATGTATTCATTCTACAAACATTCACTGAGTGCATACTGTGTGCCACTGTCACGCCAAATCCTAGAGACACATTGCAAAGCAGCACAGACACAGACTCTACCTCCATGGAGGCGATGGTCAGACGAGTAGCATCTGGATCCCTCCTGGTCATGCAACAGAACACCTGTGGGTCCCTCACACCCTACCTCCAACTGTTACCAAATCCTGACGATTCCACCTCCTGATTCTCATGCCTGCATGTGCCTTTCCCTCCTATCTATGGTCACCACCTGGGCCAGGTGGCACCTCAGTCCTCTTACCTTTTGCTTGGTAATAGCCCCTTAACTGGCCTTCCTGTCTCTCCTTTCTGCTGTCAGTTGGTTCAATAACCACCAGAGAATTCTTTGTATGACCCAAACCAGACACTGCTATTCCCCTACTTCAAACTCTTCCGTGGCTCCCCATTGCCCTCAGAAAGGAGTCCATGATCTTGGTCTGATTTTCACATCTTTTAAAGCCTGCCAGGCTAGGGTCCCTGAAGAGCTCTGGGGCCACTTGTCCTGGGTCTCACCCGTGCTTCATGTACCCCCATCCTGGATACCTGTAGCCCTGAAAACACCCATGATCTTTTTTGCTTTTGTGCCTCTGCTCATGGTAAAAATTGTCAAAATCAAAATGGAGCTGTTTGTGTTAATCCTAACAAAAAAAATAAATAAAGCTGGGAGATTATGAAGGAAGAGTTCTTATTCATGACTAATCCTTATTCTGCCTAATAGTAAATATTACAAAAGACTCTGCCAGAACTACAACCTTCCACAAAAGGCTGTAGCAACCTTATACAAAAGATACTCCTTCAAGGACATCTGCAACTGTCTACTCAACCTCAGACTGATGTCACCCTTGCTATTAATCATTTGTGGCCAAAGATATTTGTTTCAAGATACTCTGTGTAACTCTCCTCATTTTGGCCTTTAAAAACCTGCCCTTGCCCCAGCCTCTTTGAATGAGCCCAGAGTGTACTACGGCGTGCACATTCCCCTTGCAGTGCTACTCCCAAACAAAACTTGATTTTACTTCACTGTTAACCTCTGTGTTTCTCTCGGTCCTGCCAACTCATACTCAGGCTTCAAGATTAACTCGAAAGTTATGACCTACTAGAAGCCTCCCCAACCTTCCCAGGCAAACAAACCCTCTCCCCTCTGTTTGCTGGTAGCGGCTCTTTTCAGCCACACACCAGTAATTGTCAATTTACATGGCTTTCTTCCTCTAGATCAGGATTGGCAGACTCTTTCTATGAAAGGCTAGATAGTAAATATTGGAGACTTTGTGCTCCATCACAGCTACTCAGCCCTTGCATTAGAGCACAGAAGCAGCCATAGACAATACATAAACAAATGAGCTTGGCTGTGTTCCAATAAAACTTTATTTATGGACACCAAAATCTGAATGCATCTAATTTTCATTCATCAACCCCTACTCTAGATCTGTGCTTCTCAATTTTTTTCTGTGCTTCAGAATCCCCTGGAGGATTGTGAAAACACTGCTGAGCCTCTGACCCAGTTTCTGAGTCATTAGGTCTGAATCAGAGAATCTGCATTTTTGATTAATTCTCAGGTTCTTGAAAGGTGCTGGTCCCGGGCCCACACGATGAGAACCACAGCTCAGGAGAGCAGGTCTCTATGCGGGCCCAAGACCAGGCATAGAGTAAGGAACACAATAGGCACTTGAGTGTCTACTGAATGAATAACCAGTTGTAGAGACAAGAGTTTAGGCTTCAGAATCAGGAAATGAAAAAGGATGAATATCTGTCAATAAAGATAACACCTATTTCAACAGATGCTAAAAGGATAAGAGATCCCATATGTGGGCTTTGTAAAGTGTGCTTCCTCTTACACCAACAAACCTACTGGGAAGCGCGGGGCTCCACCTGGTTGTGGGAGGAGGGGATGAGCATGGGGTGTGGTCTGATCTCCCCTGGCCAATTGGAGTCTACTGCTAAGGTCCCACCCCTGGGGTGTGGCTGAAACCCCACCCCCAGGCCTTCACTGACCTCCTGCATGAGGTTTCGGAGGAAGATGGCCTTCTGCCGCAGTGGGTCGTGCACCAGCCCGTCAGAGAAGAAGATCATGCCCTGTGGGAAGTTGTGCTGGGACAGCCACGACACCACCCGCTGCTTCTGCATGTCTGGCCGTCCCGTGATATAAAGGATCATGTATCCCAGGTCCTGCCAGTGCCTGGTGAGATGGTATTGGAGGCTCCAATTCAGCCCTGCAAGCCACCCACCTGCCCAGCAATATGCCCCAGGCGCTGTTGCCCTCCCGAGAAGAGGGAGATAAAAGGAAAACCCCAAATCCACACTCCAGGATAGCCCGTAGGCCCTCTGCTCCCACCCAGTCTCCCTATACTCATGCTGTCTTCTGGACACCTGGCCTTCCTCCCCTCCCCTCTGCCTCCCTCCCTCCTCCTCCTGCTGCAATGAGCAAGCTAGGCAGCTCTGCCAGGCCATCTCTTTACTCTACCAGCTCCCTCCTTAGCTTAGGCCCCATCTCTGTGGGACCACTACCAAAGCCCGCAGGTGGCCTCTTTCCCTGCGGTCCTCTCACTCCAACCCGTTTCCACAGAGCCTGGGGTGTTGTGGGGAGCTGGAGGTCAGCAGTCACGAGCCAGCCTGGTCATTTCTCCCAAGTATGACCATTACTGGGGTGGGGTGGGCAGTGCCACCTCAACTCCCAGGAACTCCCAGTAGTCTACATCTGAATCTGGATTCATTTCTTATCCCCATAACTTGTTTTTCATACTGGCCTCAAGTTTCTCCAAACAGCAGCAATTTCTGCATCAGCGCCCAGCCCTGAGCCTGGCCTGGAGTCAGCCTCAGAAAAAGGTGAAGGGTTGCATGGGTAAAGGGAAAAGAAATGGAGGAAGGGAGGAAGGAAGGAAGGAAGGAGAGGGGAAGGGAGAGGAGGG